TGCAAGGCAGGCAGTGGAACCACTGAGCTAAATCCCCGGCCTCAAGTTAATATTTTGACTGGGCAGAAATAATAAATACCTTTGTCCTTTAAATATCAACTCAAAGAAATTTTTAAAAATTCTGACTCATTTGTATTTGTATTGGAATTTTTTTTGTGCTGGCTGGATCTCACTATAAAGTGATTTTTCATGCAACTATATTTTTACGGGGAAATGATCTTTGTCACATAAAAAATGAGCAGAGATCAGTGAGTTGTGTTTCTTGATAGACTAATTTGCAGACCTTGATGTCAAAGCAGATTTAGGATTTGTGGCAAAATTGGCAGTTGGACTGTTGAACAATTCTGTGGCAGGAGTGAATCATGCCATGCACAATTTAGTCCCACCACATCCTTTCTCTTAGTGTAAATGTATATAGTCATACACATACATAGTCATATACATAGTCATATATTCACAATGGCCTATGTTAAATGCTGTGTAATACCTGACACAGAGTAAGAAAGTAATGGTTATGAAACATACCTCCAGTGTTTTCTGATATTTTCTTAACAATATGATCAGTATATTTTCTGCTAACTTGTATATTAAGGTGCTCTGTGTCTTTCAGAGCTCAAAACAGTATTGTATAAAGTAAGTTGATTTTGCTTACCTTGTGAACAGACAGGCACTGGTGTATAGGGTTTTTCTCACACTCATAAGTTTTGGCGGATATCTTGGTGGTTTGGGCAGCCACATTCCTTCACAAATCATTTGAGTGCCAGGTCCCTGAGAAACAGTGGTGTTGGTGAAATGTGGATTTTGCATGAGTGCTTGTGTCCGTACACATGTGCTCTGGAGTCAGAGAGTTGGAAGAAATCAGACATTTATAAAGCAGGAAAAGGGTGATATTACCATATCTGTAGTGGAAGGAGTGTCACAGAGAAAGCCTGAGAAAGAATGTGGGCAGCTGTTAAGATTGAAAACTTCCCCTGCTTTATAGCTGCAAGTGAGTGGGGGGCCTCAGCTTTATCTATGCAAGGAACTGGATTTTTTAACACCTGAATAAGTAAGGAGACTTCTTCCTTAGCACTTTGAGTAAAGAGTGCATCACTGCCAAGACCGTGAATTTGGTGGGTATGATCCTAAGCAGAATGCCTAGTCCTGCTCACCTAGACTTTTGATCTTTGACAACTATGAGTTAATATATTTGAGTTGTTTTAAGCCACTAAGTGCATGGATATTTATTATAACAGCAATAGGAAACTAATACTGTGTTTATCTCTGAAAGATCCTGAGATACAACTATTTTATATCCACTGGTTAGAATCCATCTACCATCCTGGTCTTATATTATGTCTGTTTAAATTTAATTCTACTAATTCTTGGTCCATTTTGTAATTTCTTACACTATTCTACAACTCATTATAACATCCATTTATATCCTATAACCTCCATGACACAGTTACAGTTTCTAAAACATAATAATCTGTAATGGCAATAATATATACAAAATAAATTCATAAATGTAGAACCCATGACTGGGGAAATTACCTATCTTATCTAAGTAACACATATCTTTGGAAAATGACTGAATTATATACAAATCTATTTTTAAAATATGCTAACTATCTCCTTCTCACTTTTATACTTCCTGCTGACAGCTTGTTCCCCTTTAAGCAATTGATTTTTAGTAGTTTGCAATTTAGATTTTGAAAACTGAAATTTATCATATGAAACCATAATGTTAGGCTACTTCAAGGTTGTCATTAACAAACTTCAACACTACTTCCTCAATAGAGAATTGCCTCTCCTTGGTCCACTTTAGCTGAAAGAGCAAATTAACTCATTTGTTTGCTTATAAATTTGCTTCTGGAGTTAGATGGGAAGAATATGAGTTTACAGCTGAGTTAACTATAGCTATGAGAGCTCTTTCCATTAATTGCAGGCTATTGCAACAAGCATGGTATGTCCACTTTTACTGCTTCCTTTACTAACTTGCAAAAACACCCAGAGGCTTAATAATTGTGCCTCTGTAGTCTGAAATAAATGAGCAGGATAGCCAATTAAGGGTACATGCATATAAATCACAATTATTTTTCACTTCTGTGTTTGCAAAAAACAAAAAAGAATGATCTAGGCAACACTTGTAGGAAATTTCCAGTGTTGGGAGATTCACTGGAACTGTTGCCCACACGCCTCATTAGCTCTGAAGTCACAGAGCTGGGTTTGAATCCCAAATCTGTCTCTTGGTGGCCATGTGATGTTGAGTGCATTGCTGAGGTCCTCTGTTCTGTTATTGTGTGATGATAACATATATCTCAGATCTTTAAAATACTGTACCAGGCACAGTTCTCAACTGACCATTGATGAGTATGTTTTGAATTTCTCTGAACATTGCATCAGCTGAGTGAAACATTAAGCTAATCAGAGCCTCAAATAATTTCTCCTGTGAAGCATGGTTAAGGGTTTTTTATGTTTTTCAAAAGCATAAGCATGACAGATAAAATGGCTGAGGGGGGGGATGTTGAGGAAAAGACTGAGACGAGACGAGTATGGAATGTTTAGGGAAGCTGACTTATATAAGCCCCAGAAATAATTAGTGTATAGATGTCACTGACACTTGTCCCTGAAAGCCAAGTTTTTCTGAAAAACCTTTAAATATAATTTTGAAATATGTTGTTTTCTAGACATATCTATACTGTGTTTTGCTTTGTTTTTTTGGTACCGGGGATTGAACTCAGGTCCTTGCGCTTGCAAGGCAGGCCACTGAACCACTGAGCTAAATC